TATATTTATTAAAAAATTTTTTTTACATAATTTTTTAATAAAGTCACATGATACATATATAAATACCCTGTGTAAATTAAGAAATTTTCTATATACAATATATAATAATTTATTAATAAAAATTTTTTACAATTATTTTAACATTTAATAATACAATTTTAATAAATTTTTTTTTATTTTATAGTCATATAGTACTTAATAAAAATTATAAATTAAAAAAATATTTAAATTGAATTATTAAATATAAAAAATAATTTTATAATTCAATTTTATATTATATATAAAAAATTTATTTATTATTTACATCTTAATTATATAGCTTTTATTATTGAATTATTAATACCAAACTCAAACTTTAGTAAGGTGAATATTCTTAAAACGCAATTTATAAAAAGTTCAAGTTTTAAAGAAGATGTAAAATTAGTTGAGTTGAATGTACTAGATATTGCCATGTATTTTTTTAATGAAGTAAAAAAAGTTGGTAAGTGATTTATCTTATTATAACATTTAAAAATATCACTTACTATTAATTATACTTTTAAATACAGTGGTGTATAATAAAAATGACAATTTTTAAAATTGAATAGTCATACAACTATTATTACACCAATTAAAACATGCAATATATTATTTTAAAGCTAAGAAGTAGTAGATTTTATTTAAAAAAATTTTTATAATATTTATTTATCCTTTTTCTCAATAACCTCGCTCCCTGCACTGTTATGATATTAAATTTACAAAATCAATTATAAGGCTATTTGGTATTTTTTTTTTTTTAACTCTTCATTAAAAAACTTTTAAATTCACTAAGGTTTTTTAGTTCATACAACTCCACATTCCTCTTAATGATTACCTAATGATTTTTAATAAGTTTTAGGTTTGAATTATTAAAGACCAATCTATAATCTTTAAAATATTATTTTCAAAAAATTACTTAATAAAATAGCTAAATTACTAATAAAATAACTAAAATGCTATCTTGCTAAGCATTTTTTACATTTAATTTCCAATTTTTTTAAGTTTTAATGATAGTTTTATATAGAAACTTTATTAATAAGTATATTTAAGCAGCACTATGTATTTCCTGTTTTCAGAAATGGAATTATATTTAATATTAAGTTTTTTGCTTGGATAAAATTACTTTAAAGTTAAATAAACTAAAATTTTTATTAAAGTATAGAAAAAGTTTCATTTGAAAATAATATCTTAATTATAAAGATTTTCATTTGCATATTTATTTATATATATACGACTAAAATTGGAAAAGTTAAATCATAATGATCTGTTGCAGTAAAAATTATCATTTTTTTTGCATACCACTGTAACTAAAAATAAGGATGAGAATAAAGTAAATTTATTTGCTAAATTCTGTAATAATAGTTTTATACTAGTTTTATACTAAAGTTTTCATGAAATCTGTAAAATTAGTATTATTGTCAAATTTTAAGTAATTTATTAATATTTGTAAATTTTTATTTAAACAGTTTAAAGCAATTAAATTATAATTATAATAAATATATAGGATTATTTTAATATTCACTGAAGGTAAAATTCATTGGAAATAATTTTATTTTATTATATATTTTATTAAAATTTAAACTTTTCATTCTTGAAAAAAATAAAAAAAACCAGATTTTTTATAATTTTTAATATAATATTATTATATAATTAAAAATATAATAAAATATAATATAAATAAATAAAAACATGTAAAATTTTCTTTTTTGTTTAATAAATATTTTATTAGCAGATGAATTTTACCATAAAATTTATTAAATTTATATATAAAGAGAACCTCAGACATCTCTTATAGAACTCACAACTAACTTTTTACCAAAAAAAACCCAAGTTGCTCTTTTTTTATTTTCCATTTTTTGCGATTATCTTGGTATCCAGTGATCCGATTCATGCAGATTTTTTTTATTTTGTAGAGCTTGATACAAACCAAAAAAAAGTTTGTACAAATTGAACCAATGGATACTGAGATAATTGCAAAAAACTGATTTTTTTTTTTTGTGAAATTTAGGTCAATTTGCGAAAAAGTTGCCACTAGGTTGTATATGTAATGTCCAGGATCCTATATAAAGTATAATGTAAATTATACTTCAATAAAATTCATTAGAGGTAAATATAAAATTAATCCTAATATATATATTTATTTAACCAATTAGAATTTGATTAGATAAAATAGAAAGTCAAAGCTATTAATTGAGTAAATTAGCTGATTTCTGATATACTTTTAATAAGTAAAATAACTTACAATTTACTGATAGAATATGAGATTTATTTGAATAAACAAATAGTACAAGAATTTTTTTTTTTTTTATTAATCACTATGCATTTATTAATAAAGAAAAAAAAGTTACAAATATACAAATACAAGAGCTACTAATTAAACTACAAAAAGCTACCAAATTACCCATCATTCTATTTGACTAAAGGTATAAATGAATGTGTTAAACTGCTGTAAATATTTACAAATTGATTTGTATAATATAAATTAATTTAAAACTTTTTATATTACTTTTGCAATTTCTCTAATATCAATATTCCTTTATTTAGTTCATTATACAATTTGTTTATTAATTGTAAAATCCTTTTAAAAGGAATATTATCAAAAATCTGATTTTATTAATTTCTTTTTCAAGATTGCATTATCAACATGTATTTTTAAAATATTCTTAATTATCTTTAAAGGAAGAATGGCTAGTCTTAATAAATCAGACATTCCAAGTACTTTAAATATCATCAATGGTAAGACATTTTCATAATAAACAAATTGATTTTACAAATTCCTAATTTAGCAATATTTTTATGTTTTCATTAAAGATGGCTTCTCCAAATCCCTATAATATTTATGGATAAAAAAATCAAAAGGCTTCCAAAAAAATTGGAAGAAAACATCATCAATTTTGATTTTAATCAGAATCAAATTTTATATGCTTTAAACAATAGATGAAAATAAAATAATAACTCAAAAAAACATGTTTACTTATGTTGAATAATTTTATTACAGCTTTATTACAATTCCATATTTTGAACAGTATCTTTTAAACTAAGGAAACTTGGGCCATCAATCTTTATATCAATAATGATATCAATGTGAACTTCATCAATGCTAGGCAGGTTCTTTTTCAAAAAAAATTTTTAATACTCAATTTATTAGCGTTAGATAAAAAAAAAATAAAAGTTTCGGAATGTAATAAATAAATACAAGTTAAATTCTTTAATTTATCGACCAGGCAAAAGCAGTTAGCTGATTTAAACCAACTTTTTGCTACTAGCCAAAGCAGTAACTTAAGCTAATTACTTTTTTCGGGATAAATCTGTATTTAAGCAGGTATATATATATGTAAATAACATAGAATCAAGATAACGTTCTAAAAAAAAACCTTTATTAGAGTCAAATATATAACAAATGTAATCCGTGTTGTGAGACATAAATTATAAATAATAATATCAATATATATATATAAACTAAAAATTTCTATATTAAAAAATCGATATATATATATATTTTTAAGAATAGAAAAACATATTAAAAATCGATAAATACAGATGGTGATCAAAAGTATACGGACATTTTAATTTGCCAAAATTATGCCGATCATCACGTGATGACGTAATATAAACAATACGTCATTTAACGCCTTATATCATAATAAAAACCTCCCCAATGTTTTTTTTTTAGTAAACATTCACCAAATATGAAGCCACTCACCCCAAAAACCCGATATGCGATTATTTATGGTTATAATTGTGGACAATCGGGCCGTTTAATTGCAGAACACTTGGGGTGTAGTAAAACTGCTGTTTATGATGTACTTAAACATTTTCGTGAAACTGGCTCTTTCACACCAAAAAAAAAATCAGGTCGCCCTCCACTCTTTGACTCACCAGCACGACAAGAACTCAAAGCTTTTGTTAAAGAAAATGGTGAAAATCGTCGACTTTGTTCAAAAAAGCTTGCAACTGTTTGGACAGCTCGTAAAAAGCAACCTATTTCTGTGTGTACCATACGCCGAAACCTCAAAAAGGTTGGACTTAGTGCCTGTATTCCCCGTCATAAACCTGCAATGACAGAAGCACATCGTCAGGCTCGTCTTGAATGGGCTCTTGCACACAGAGATTGGACAACAAGAAAATGGAGAAGAGTGCTTTTTTCAGATGAAAGCACTTTTACACAATTTCAGAAAGGTCGTCAGGGAAGGGTTTGGCGTGAACCAGGAGAAGAATTGAATCCTGATTGTATTGCAGTTACCGTTAAACACAGTCCTAGCAGAATGTTTTGGGGTTGTTTCTCCTGGCGTGGGCTTGGACCAATTGTTCCGTTAAAAGGCTCAGTTACAGGTCAAACTCATGCTAAAATTATTCAAAACTATGTTGTACCTACTTTGGATGAGCATTTTCCACAGGGTAATGGAATTTTTCAAGAAGACAATGCTCCACCACATCGTTCAAAAGTCGCTATGGCCACCCGTGAAGATGCCAAAATTGTGGTGCTTCAATAGCCAGCACAAAGCCCCGATTTGAACCCCATAGAGAACATGTGGGCAGAAATGAAAGCAATGGTGCATCGACGTGACCCACCACCATCTAATATCAAAGTACTTGAGAAATATGTTAAAGATGCGTGGGATGATATTCCTCCAGAATATTATAAAAAATTAATTGATAGCATGCCACAGAGAATTGAGGCAGTTATTGCTGCAAATGGATATAGTATTAATTATTAATATATAATTTTTTTTTACATAAAATTAATAAAGGACAATCAGATTAATATATTTACTTAATAAATTTTATTTTTATTATATTATTTTATATGAAATTTTTATTTTAAAAAATGTCCGCATACTTTTGATCACCATCTGTATATATATTTTTTTAAGAATAGAAAAACATATTAAAAATCGATAAATATATTTTTTTAAAAAAATTTAATAATAAAAAAAAACATATTAAAAATCGATAAATATATGAATAAAAAAAAAAAAATTCATAAATTATATATAAAGAATTAACCATAAACTATATTATTATCAGTTATTAAAATTAATAAAATAATAATTCATTATATTTTGGTAATGGCCAAAGTTTATCAGAAATCAATTCTTCCAAATTATCAACTTTTATTCTAATTTCTTCCATAATGGGTAATAAATTCTTTTCGGTATATTCAGCTTGTTTATATGGGTCATCAATTTTACCAACTTCTTTAATCATAGTTGTAATTGAATCAATATATTTTTGTAAATCAATTACAATTGGTGTTGTAATTTCAATTATATTTCTTTCAGGAACTGAATGTTCTTTACTACAAACACTTTCTATTGATTTAATTCCTTCAGCTAATGATTTACGAAATTCATAAGCAATTGGAAGTATTTGAGTTTTAACTATAGCTTCAAGAGTTCTTGCTTCAATAAGTATATCTTTTGTATATTTTTCAAGTAAAATATGATGACGAGAATGAAGTTCTGATTTAGTAAATATTCCATTCTTTATAAGCATATCAGAATTAACAGGATCTAATAATTTTGTAAAAGCTTCAGGAGATTTCTTAATATTAGGTAAACCACGAGTTTCAGCTTCTTTAACCCAAGCTTCTGAATAATTATCACCTTCAAAACGAATATTTTTAGTTTTGATAATATATTTCCTTATTACAAATATTTTATCCTCATCAGTAAGAGTAGGTTTATCACCCTTTTGTTTTAAAAGAGCTTCTGTCACTTCTTGAATTGAAGAAGCGACAGCAGAATTTAATAATGTAACTGGGAATGAAGTTGATTGTTTGGATCCAACAGCACGAAATTCAAATTTGTTACCAGTAAAAGCAAAAGGTGAAGTACGATTTCTATCAGTTAAATCACGTAAAATTTCTGGAAGTGTTGAAATTTTCATATCTAATACAGTACCACCAACTTTAATACTTTCAAAATGAGGTTCTGAACTTTTAATTGCACGAGTTTCTTCAATTGCATTAAGAATTTCTGTTAAATGTTCACCCAAGAAAGCAGAAACGATACCAGGAGGTGCTTCATTAGCACCCAAACGATGATCATTAGAAGCTGATGCGATACCAGCTCTTAAAAGACCGGCATGAATATGAACAGCATTAAGAATAGCAACCAAGAATAAAAGAAACCGATAATTTGTTTCAGGTGTTGAAGTAGGGTCCAAAAGGTTTTCACCATGATTCGTAGAAAGTGACCAATTACAATGTTTTCCTGAACCATTAATACCTTTAAACGGTTTTTCATGATAAAGTACTTTAAGTTTATGATTATGAGCAACTTTATGAAGCACATCCATAGTTAAAAGGTTATGATCAACAGCGATCGTTGCCTAAAGGATTTTTAAAATTTTTTTTAATATAATTAATATAAATAAATTGAAGATTAATAAAAGAAAGGTGAATAAAATTAAAAATTAAAATATATATATATATACATCTTCAAAAATTGGGGCCATTTCAAATTGAGATGGTGCAACTTCATTATGTCTCGTTTTAACAGGGACTCCCAATTTGATTAATTCAAGTTCGGCTTCACTTATAGCTGATAAAACTCGTGTAGGCATTCTTCCAAAATAATGATCTTCCATTTGTTGATGTTTTGGAGGAAGTCTACCAACAAGAGTTCTACCAGTAATTTTTAAATCTGAACGTAAAGAATAAAGTCCACGATCTATAAGAAAAAATTCCTGTTCGACACCTAATGTAGTATAAACGTGTGTAACATGGGGGTTCTCATCTAATAATAATAAAAAAAAATGTATATTATTCGTTAATTTTATTGATCAACGGTTTTTGTAAATTTTTTGGACTAAAACATACCAGTTGGATTAGGGTTGATCAATTTCAATAATTCAACAGCAGCTTTTGATAGAGCTTCAGAAGATCTCAATAAAACAGTTTTCTCATCTAATGCTTCACCATTATATGAAATAAATATAGAAGGTATATAAAGAATGGATGTACCATGAGGACCAGGTTGAATAAACATGGGGCTCGTGGTATCCCAAACTGTATAACCACGTGCTTCAAAAGTGGAACGCATACCACCAGATGGGAAAGATGATGCATCTGGTTCAGATTGAAGAAGTTGAGATCCTGAGAATGTATCCAATTGATAAATTTCACCATTTGAATCAAAATTATTATTTATTGTTAAGAAAGAATCCTGTTTTTCTGCTGTACTTCCTGTTTGAGGTTGAAACCAATGAGTAAAATGAGTTGCACCTCTATCCATTGCCCAAATTCTTGCGGCATGAGCAACCGAATCAGTAGTATTCTTATCCATAACTTGACCACCACGCATCTGTTTAATGAATTGTTGATAAACAGGTTTTGGCAAACATTTTGCCATAGTTTTTAATGAGAAAACATTTTCACCAAAGAATTCAGAAGTATAAAGTGGTGTTCCATTTTTTTTAGGAAATTCCACAACACGGTTTGGTCTATTATAACCATCAATGATACGATTTATTCGAGCTTCTTGAGACATGATTTACGGGTAATTTTTTTTTTTTTTTTAAAAAAAAATTATGTAAAAATTTAATGTAGGATTTGGGGGAGTAAATTTATTCATCGTATAAATATATCGTATATATATATAAAAGTTTTAAAAGGATAATATACATTGATCCATATATTATTCTAATTATTATTAAAAGTTTTAATTAAATTTAGTTTTGATTATGAAATAACGCCCAACTATTTAGATTTGATCATTTATAGAATACTAAGCCTATGACAATTATATTAAGCCAATGACAATTATATGTCAACATTCTCACGCCATAAATTTTAAATTTCAATTACTATTATTATTACTATTATTTCATTATTATTTTATTATTTAAAAAAAAAATGTGATTGATCATAAGGACTCTCTTTTAATCAGAAAAGTTATTCGTTTAAATATCTCATATTTAACCATTAAAATGATAACCGAAGGGAAATCCCACTTTAGGCAGTTCATTAATTCAAACATATTCTAGTATTCTACGTAAGTCTTGAAAATCCAATTAAAATGCATCTTGCACTACCCACATCTATGAGATCTCCTATAAGTTAAGTTCTTTACTTTCTAGAAATGTATATTTCTATATTTACAACACGCCATATCCGGTTGGTCCCTAGGGAGTGCATTTATAGGTATTTCATAGTCACCTTACCTACGGGGATCGGCAATGGGCGTAACGAAACAACGAAACAAGGAAAAAATATTGTAGATATGCAAAAAGCAAAAATAAACAAAAAAAAAAAAAACTTAAAAGTTACGTTTTGATCTTCCAATTAGCACACCAATCCATTACGAAAATTTATTATTACGACCTTCGTTGTTAGAAGAAAACGGTTCAGTTCATTATGTACAGAAAGAAAAAAGTTTTTAACCAAAAATGAAAAATAAAAAAATGAAAAACAAAAAAAAAATACACTTATATATGTATATTGTTATGAGAAATCTAGCGGAAAAAAAAAAATTTTATTATACAAAAATTTGTTGAAAAAACCTCAAAATTATGCTAATAATTTACAGTACGATTAAAATAAAATATTATTATTTTAATGTATACCCGTATTACCCCCCCAAAATTATACCCGCAAAAAAAAAAAAAAAAAAAATTAT